ACTGCAAGCCAAGCTGTTTTTGAGCTATGTGCAAAATTGTAAACTTCATTTTGATAGTGGCACCTCTGTGTGCAGCACAAGTTTTGTGGTATGAATATTCTTGGCAACAGGGAGCCTGTCGTGAAATGTTTCTTTTTATGGTTCTGACTTCATGAACCTTTTGCAGCATGGATAAATAAAGACATAAAAAGAAGATTGAATAAAATAATCTGAATAATTGCAGTGGGGTTACTGCTGCTTTGCTGATTACACTCCTGAAAACACGCAAAGGGAACAACTTGGGATGACAGCCAAAGGTGTAAGAAATTCAACTTGAATAGAGGTCGACAGTGTATACGAGGGAGAGGGAACATGTCAGGTTAAACCTGCCTGCTTCTGTCTGCTACAGCTAGACTGTCTGACCCCTGTCAAGCCAGGTTTGTTCCAGTGACGAAGCCTAGCACTTTCTCTTGACAGGAGGTCAGGCGTTTTAGCACACCTTGCATGTTGCGCACAAGCACGATTTTGTTTGTGCACTCTCTCCCCCTGTCTCACCCAACCTGTCCGCAGAGCCTGTGGTGTTTGCATTTCCTGTCCCTACCTATCAGATCTCACTTTGTATCTGGAGAGTGTGCTTCTGAGGCTTCTGGCAGTCAGGAAGCTGCAAGACACTGTGTCCAAAAGGTAAAACTGGATCAGAGGTTCGGACCAGTGCTTGTCAAGGATGGTGAATGCATTCGTTTCCCTGGCCTCATCCTGCCATGTCCCACTTTTCACTTTTCATTACCCGTCTTTCTGGTTAGACTTCAAAGGCCTCAACCGGTGCAGACTGCAGAGCTTCGCATGTGATATGTGGCCTTATCATAATACAGTGTCTGACTGGATGTTTTTGGGTTATTTTTAGCACTGAGACATGCCACTCAAACCTTTCAATGAAAAGATGATCTTTTCTCTGTGCTTTTGGGTTTTGTTTGCAGACAGGTTATTTGCAGGCAGCGACTGAAGAGTAATATGTCATTTGAATGCACAACCCAAGGTGATTTCTATGTCACTACCCCAGTATATTTCAGTATCATCATTACTTTCACTGTCACTTTAAAGTGTTTCAAGTGCAATTTCAATTTATCTCTGAAAAAGGTCATCTGCTTTCTAAGATTATTACCTGTTTGTCAGTATTTCATAAACTGTTCAAGCAGGAGACACGTTTCAAATTGTATTCATTGGTCAGGTTTGTCAAAACGGAGAATACGTACTTCCAAAGTCTCGGATGGTAAAATTCCTGTTTTTCAGATCTTCTTTTGGCGATCTGAAGGAGAACTGTTGTCCAGCGCTTGGTAAGTCCTGGTCTTTTGCACTGAAAGATTGTATCACCTGCAAAAAATAAAAATAAAAAAATGAATGCCACAGGTTGACAATAAAACTATTCAAATCAACTTTTTTTCCTTTGCCATTTATGTGTATTAAACATTGGGGTTTTTTAAGAGGCTTGCTCTTTTCCTGCCTGTTGGTTAGTGGAAGACTGGCAAACCACACACAGAAAATAGACTGAATTTGAACAGTTTGGAGGTGAAAATTATCCATCATTGAACAACGTCTAGTCGTTTTAAACTGCCTGTGTGCCAGACCTGCCACTGAATTGTTTTGCCGGACGTGTTTAGCACTTGATTGAAAACTTGTTGAAATTGCTAGATCACCTCATCACCTAAAGTGATGGATTAACTTCATTCAAAACTGCTGGAGCTTGTGCAATGGTCATGGAAAGAGGCCAGCTATTTTAAATTGCATTTCTTTTAGAGTGCATCTGCTTTAGGCAAAGACAAATGCAGGAAAAACACACAGTTTGATCAGTCCGACACCGACTGTTACGTACTACAGCACTTCAGCAAACTGGATCACTTACATGTGAAATAGAGTTTACTAATAGAACACCATGACAGCCACTATCCCCTCTGCACTTTCCTGTTAGACGTAGACTGCTGATTCAGCCACCTCTGTAGCAGGCGGCTGACTGCTTTCTACTTTCTTTTGTTCCCCAAACATTTCAGAGATATGTCTGGAAATGGCTATGCTGCCAATCCAGCTGTGCAATCAAGCTGCTCTTCACTTACTGGATTTAACCTGCGGGAGACCCAGTGCCCTGGTGCTGGCTCCCCCACCTGCAGGAGCCACGACTCAGCCCCACTGCCCTGCTACATCACCCTGGCTGTGTTGTGTCTGAGGTTTTCCCTTCTCAGTATTTAAATGAAATTCCCTCCAGGGGAGTAAACTTGACACTAGGTGTGATGAGCACTCTGTTGAGGTCCTCGCTGCAGATGTACAGTTTGCACTATTGAACCCCTTCAACCAAATTAGCTTTTTTATGAATAAATGAAGCTACAAACAGACCCATCTTTTTTCAATAAATATAGGCAATTTTGTCTAATGGCCATCAAAAGACTGGGAAATCGTGTTTTGCATTGTATTCTAAAGGAAAATGACTTAAACTATATCACATAAAACCTTCAACTTTGAATGCTGTAGGTGTACTGTGATTGGTCCAGAAATACGGGCAGGTTGTCTAATGAACTGCAAGAAGAGAACCCAAATGCAAACTCCAAAACAGACTACATAACAAAAGACAGGCCGTTTATTGTGGCTGATTCAAAGTCCACCAGAAAAATGTAAAACTGGATCGAAAGTAGGCAGAGAACACAGTGTAAGTTTAAACAGACACTGCAAGAAAGAGTGAAGGGAAGCCATGAAAGTCATGGGCTGTGTCCCAATTCAGGGTCTGCACACTTGAAGTAGGCATTTTAAGTGTGATTACGTCACCGCCACGCGACGACGGCTGTCCCAATTCGAAGTGTACTTCAAATGCATACTCCAAATGCGCCGTCAATTTCCCCAAATATCAAGCGTTGTCCGGTGCACGCTTCGTGGTCCCATATATCCCACAATTCATAGCGCGGCGGTGGGTGTGGAAAATTTTGCCGCAAAATACGGCAGAAGGGAGTGGCCAAGAGTGAACTGTCAAAAGTAAGTACTGAATACGATCTCACTTATTTATGTGTGAATGTTTAATAACGAAGAACATTAAAACATTGCAGACATGTGGCCAACAGCAAAGTTATGTGACATTAGTGATGTTTGTGCTTTCAGCGTTAACACATATATATATATATATATATAATCTGACAATACTATAATATTGGCCATATTATACTTACATTACCACAGTGAGATGACTTTAGTCTCATGAACAACATCAGCTAATTGTTATTTGACTGTTCAGTACAGAAATGAAGCCCAACAATCATGTTTTACAGTCCTGTGGTCTCAGCCTCAGATACTCAACTAATCAAAGTGATGTCATGAGAAAAATGAATGACCAACAAAACATTTTTTTCTCCTTCATTTATGTCACACAATGCTGTATGAGACGTTTCTCGCGGTTAGTATCATGGTTGCTAGGCAACCTGAACAGCGAGACGAAGGCTAGACCGTCCCATTTCACAATCCTCTCACTTCCGCACTTCTCGTACTTATAGTACGCACCGTACGTAGTACGCGTAGTACGCGTAGTGTGTGTACTTCAGGCGTGCAGAGTCTGAATTGGGACACAGCCATGGTCATGGAAGTGAAGACAGCTGGGGCAATCAAGACACAGGTGTAGACAATCAGGAAAATGAGACAGGGGAGGAAGTAAAACTAAACACAGCCACAGCCAAAGTAAAACAAGAACTAAATCCACAGATAACTGCTACACTGAACAAAAGCAACATTAAGGAAAATGAGCACGAATAGAAGACATCAGAAACATTAACTAGAGCATGAGTACAATATGAACGAAAACCTAAAAATGCTGATGTGCAAAAAGTTCAATTATGCAAGAGCGAAAAACAAAAGCAAACTGAGAACGCAGACTCAACAAAACCATAGACATATACACGCACGCTTTGGGCTCCCTACTCTCTGCAGAGAGGTCAGGTGGAAAAACAGGGAAAGCTAAGCCTATATGCGACAAAGGAAATATAAAAAAATCTTCACAAGTAGCTCCACATGACCTGCTGCTGGACATCCAACACAAAGCACAGTAATGTGGTACATGTAGAGAGAAAATTAAGAAGTTGAAACAGGATTACAAGAAAATATCAAACGTAAAAGGTGACTTTGCATTACCAACCATTGGCCAGGTATTACATCATTCCAGATTTCACTATTAGAGATGCAAGAGAAAATGGGAGGGGAGGCTAGGAAGGTATGTCGTTCCCAGGAGACCTCCCTTGTGGATACTTATCCCCAAGTAAAGGATGAAAGAGGCTACGGTCTTTTAGCATCAATTGAATTTTAAAATGAATAAAACCTTAGTAAAATAGCCTGTATTAAATGTTGGCAAGTGTACCTCCATCAGCTTTGGCTACACAAAATCTCGCTCTTACTCAAAATGTGTTTTAGTGCACCATTATCCCTCTTCTTTACCTCTCAAGGACAACAGTATGTGCTACAGTAAATCCATGTCATGCAGTATTAACTGACAATTAGCTTCACTGCTGAAACATCAGTACCACGTATCACCAATTTAAAACAGCATTTATTATATTTTTCACAAACAGAAAATTAATTATAATCTGTCAAGTGCAAATCCACCTTACCTCGCTCTCAAAAATGCTTCCCCTCTCCTCTTGATCACAAGTGGAGCTGTTGCTGCAGTAACCGCTTATTACCGGGCTCTATTATATATATTTTAATGGTTTTAAGTGTATCCTGCTTCTGCACTTTTGCACACAGCGACATGAGGGTGTCAACTAAATGCTGTAAATGCAAATGTAATTGTTCCAGCGAATCAGTGTGATTCATTAGGTCACTGTTTTAATATAGCATTATCAAAAACAAAGCAAATATAACAGAAGAAACTGTAGCACCGCTAATATGTAGGAAGTCATTTCTTTTATATTCCCTTTATGGTTGCTTTTCTCATTTCACACTTGACCAGTTGACTCTGAGTACAGTAAATTATGGGATGTGGAAACGACCTGCTGTCTAACTTTGCCACAACCCTGATTTTCTTTATATGCAAAACTCAGTTGAAGGTTTCAGGCCACTCGCCTCCCTGCTTTTTCCACACTCTTACATAAAAACAATCAGTTACTTTTCCTGCTTGCTTGGTTTCATCCAAGTTACCAATCATTTTGAATTGGATGTTGTGCAGCAGCATGAGACACTCTGAAACAAGCTGTTTTTACATGTTTTTAGCGGTGTGAGTGCAGACAAGGGGAACATATGACGGATTTTACAAGAGAGGCTCTGCGGTTCTTTTTTTTTAAATCTTCCAGCTGTGCTGTGCAAAACACCTGGAGGGATCATGCTGTGGAAGAAAAAGCATGTTCCGGATTTGAGGAAAAAGAAGCTCCAGAGAAATAGAAGTGCCAATTCAGGGTCACTGGAGCCTTTCCCAGCTGTCATAGGGCGAGAGGCGAGGTACGCCGCGGACAGGTCGCCAATCTATCACAGGGCTGACAGAGAGACGAGGATAACCATTCGGAACTATGTTCGAATTAAAATCACAAATTAACCTAACATGCATGTGTTTGGACTGTGTCGGGAAGTTAGAGGACGCAGAGGGAACCCATTCAAACATGGCGAGAACATGCAAAGTCCACACAGAAAGGCTCCGAGGTGGATTCAAACTCAGTGAAGCAGTAATACTATACACCACGATACCATGCCACCCACGGAGATGTGATGTCGTGTTTTATATACAGGACACTTCTTGCATGATGTGACCAGTTCACCTGAATATATGAATGCCTTGATATTACTTTAACTTGTTTACTTTCTTTACCTCCCTAATACATTTGCACATGTATAACAGGTCTATATAGAAAAATAATAAATAAATAAATAAAAATCTTAATCTTGTTAAATAAAGGAATTACAAAAGAAAGAAAACTCCAAAACAACACACCGAGCAAAATAAAAAGCTGATTCTATCGGTTCATCTGAAGCAGAATCAAAGCAGTCATATAATTGAACATAATGACCTCCTAATCCTTAAAGCTAGGGGCACAACCTCAGGAAAGAGAAACTATGCTCAGGGCACCAGATAGCCACTCATATCTGCACATTTATACACTCTCCTTAAACCTCCCGTAAGGCACCCGCAAGTCCACGGCTGCTAGCCTGAAAACCTTTGAAGGACGCATTGTACACCTCATTATTTAGAATGTGGATCAAAATATTCCGATGTGTGTCTCTTAATGAATCATTTGATCATTCACAACTGGCCCAATGGATTATTAGACTTCACTGATCTTTAGTTACTGCCTAGGATTCATTCAGTGTATGAATGAACTATGAATATGTGTATATATATATATATATATATAACTTTTTTCAGTGAAATAAACTTTAATAGCAGGAAATTAACTATGCATATAATTCTTTTCTTTCGCTCCTTTTCCCCGTATTTTCCAGGTAACCTATATTTCACAACATCATAATAAAACTGGAAATTCTGTTTCTGCTGATGCCACCCCAATATTTTTAGTGCCCCCCATATGGTTAAGCCTATAAAAAATTGTGGAGACGCCCCTGCAACAGATCCGTTGGGTAAAGAATAATTTATTGTCCACTGTCAATATTTTATTATTCTCTTTTTACTTTTTATTAAACACAGGTCATTTTAATCCCACTTTATAATCTGTTATACTGTGCTATTTATATTACTGTTCCATTTTTCTTTCATTTATAGTTTTTGTAAATTATATCAATTTATTAGTCATTTTAAAAATGTATACATTGTTTATTTTTGCATTTTAATTTAACGCTTTTGTTTTTGTAATATTGCCAAAATGGTTACAGTGTATCTTACTGAATTATATACCACTGGAGAAGTTTGTTGTATGTTGTGTTTAACTTGGATTTTAGCCGTTGTCATAAAGGACTTTCCCAACTTTGGGGGCAAATAAAGTATACATTGTGTTTTCTTCGTACAATATTCATGCGATTGTGAAATCTTTTTAGATTAAAAAAAAAAAGTTTGCTGCCCACACAAGGCCTTACACATCATTGAACACGCTATGTGTATCTGTGCTCACATTATGCTGTGAAGTGTAAATTGCATATTGGTCTAGAACCGCCTTCCGATTAGGTGTGATTAGATGAATGACATGCTCACAGGTACATGCTTTAAACTCTAAAGACAAAAACTTTAAGACAAACTTTTTCCATGAGGAGATAAATGATAAAACATCCTTCTACTATCAAATACTGTTCATCATCCTGCACAGTGAAGCCATGAGC